TTTGAATTATTTGCGGTGTGACATTACTGTAATTTTCGAGTAAATCGGATGAATCGTTCTTGATTTGCTAAAAAAAATGTATCGGGGATGCGAATGAGATTCGAACCTCACTAGCGCAGACCTTATTCGAACGCTCGGTTGGCGTTTCAACCCCAAGCAGATATCGGTTATACCGGGTGTCTGGAAAACGGCGGATTAACTCTTCAGTACGTTATGTACGGGAATTTCGGGAGTCCCAAAAAAATTATAAAAAAATTCTATATGATGTAGAACATGAAAAAAACGTAATTTTATAAAAGTAAAATTGGCAACACTGCACGCACCTGACGCGTCAATACCTCTGGTGACTGATATCCACCTTTGATTTTTTTAGAACAATAACCATAACAACCTGTAGTCATTAATCGTTGTGCATTATTATTAATAAAACAAACTGTTAGTTTTCATTAATAAATAAACCAAAAAAAAAGACATTTATAAATTTTAAACAAAAGCAAAAAAGAAACAAAAGAAAAATCCATTAAAGCGTAACCAATAAACACTAGAGAAGATGTTCAAAATTCCTGCCTTGTGCATATAAGTAAGCTCGTTAGTTAGTCATCAGTACTTAAGTTAAAACTGATTTTGGCAAATGACATACCTCCTAGGAGAAAAGAGGGCGGGTGGGCGGGGCTAGCACCTGCTAAAATAAAACTGATTTTGGCAAATGACATACCCTCCAAGAAAATAGCGGGGTTAGTACCTGCTAAAATAAGACTGATTTTGGCAAAGGACATTCTCTAAGAAAATAAAGGGCGGACGGGTGGAGCTAGTACCTGCTAAGATAAGACTGATATTTTCAAATGACGTATCCTTTAAGAAATGCAATTACATTATTACAAGAAAAGACACTAGAGGTTTTAAATTCTTTCAACAGGAATACCTAGAACTTCAAGATTGTTTTGAATTTTTCAAAAAAAAAAACGGGGTCCCAAAATTAACTCAAAGACAGGTCAGGTCAGGTAAGAATTTTCCAAAAATAGAATACCAAAGTCGCCCAAAATACCTTTAAATAATTTACAAAAACAATGTCCATGGGCTCCCAAAATAATGCACTGTGGCACTCAAGACATTTCTAAATTCGTAAAACGTAAAACACTAAAAGCTCACAAGATTTTTTCAATTTCATTCAGCAACAAAACACCAGATTCCTTTAAGTTTATCCGAAAAGATCAGGGGACCTAAAATTAACTGCGAACATTTTAAACGTAGGGTTTTGAAAACTTTGACAATTTTTGATACGTCAAACATTTTTAACTGCTTACTCGATTTTTGCTGATACTTCACTATCACGCAAACATTGTTGTCAAATGGAATTTTATCAAATTATTACAAAAACAACGCAACCATTCTTTGTACATTCTAACTGAAATAGTAATTAAACATGGTCATAGGCGAGAGAAATATTAACTAAAAGTTTTATTACTAGTTATTGTGATAATGAATGTGTTGTTTAGTTGTTAAACGTAGCAAAAGAACCAATTTTAAAATCATTATAAATCCACCAAAATGTGAGAAAGAATTTTTTTTACAATATTTCCTAGACTCACCAATTGATTGTTAAGAGAGTTTATTCGCCATTTTCCAGACAGCCGGTATACAACATGCAGCGAATATTGTAGAAACATTTTTGTAAGATAATTGTGATTGAAGCTAAACGCGGATTCGTGAACTACAAGTGTACAAGAGTATATGTTACAAAATTTTAAAAATATTTATTGTTAAAAATTTTGAGGATATGGCATCACGTTTTTGGTGTGGATGATTAGATAAATTTTAGTTACCGTTTAACCATCTGCATGATGTTCCTAATGTACATACAAAATTTGACAACAATCGGTCCGGTAGTTTCGGAGATTACATGTCTAAAAAAATGGATACAAACACCAGACAGACAGACAAACAGACGGAAATGGAAGTCTACTTTTTTCGTACTCTACGAGGGCATGAAACGTCGAGAAAACATAAAAGTGGCTGATGGTCCGATGGACTCGGGTACTATACTTCTTTAGCGTACGTTCGAGAAGTAAAAATAGATGAGACGTGTCTAGGGTTATTATTAAAACATTAAGTATAATAATTAAAATGATTACTTAAGTCACCAAATTAATTTAAATTAAAAAGTACAGCTTATTCTTAAAGCATAAACAATACTGTAATCTCCGGGCATATTTTTTAAGAAACCCTTATCTTATAGTTTTTAGATATGACGTCATAATTTTTTGGAAGGAATAAATAAATAAAATTTAGTTAATGCTCTTAAATCATTTAATCAATGTAGCTATCACAGATCTAATGAGGCCTGTTTGAAAGTTTCTAAGATAAATTAAAAGTAATAACTAAAGTAAACAATATGTATTGAGTTAAAATGATGGACAATTAGTAATTATAATTAATAAAGCATCACATAACGCAACATATTTCAAGTCAGGTTATCAACAAAACTTTGATATAACTTCATAAATTTTTTAGTTAGCTTTTTGAATAATTCTAGTTTCAGATAGGTCAGTACAATAGTATGTATCAGTGGTATAGTAGACATTTCTTCTTCAAAAATTTATACAAACGGTAACGAGAAACCTGCATCTTCGTATTCTATACAATTAAACCCATTTTTCAAAGTGACCTTATGACAATCCTCGATCAGAGATTAGTAAGTAAAAACAGAATTAGACATGTACTCTATGTATTTTGCTGCTGTATGTATAATATACAGCAACAACATTCCGAATTGTTTAAAAATCAGACTGAAGCAAAGCCGATTCTTAAAAATTGACCGATAGACAATAAAGGCTGTACCTAGTAGTTCTAAAAAAAAGACTACATATTTTAGATTGCAAAATACAAACATGGTCAGTATACACCACTGCATCAAAACAAAAATTTACTTCGCGGCATGCATAAAATATTGAAACGGTGGGAGAACTTGTATCTACTTAAAAAACGTTATTAAACATCTGTTAGGAAAATCTGTAAATTTCAGTAATACACACAATTGTGCACAAATCGACACCCAATTATAAAATTTAAGTTGTAAAAAACTTACCCACTGATTGCTTTTTTTAGTACTCTCCAGAGTGTTTGCAAATCATTAGGGAGTTTTAGTTTTCTTAAATAACTCATTAACGAGTTATTACATGCGGTACATTTTCGACATGTATGCTTCAATTCATGAAGGTAAACAATGACCCACTCTAACTACACCTTACTGTCCCAAAAACATTAAATTTTTTCAAACATTCACCTTACGTTTTAAATAAAATTTCAAAATTTTCATCTATTTGACAGAATATTTTATTTTGTTTTCATTACATATTTTGTTGTAATCAATGAAAATGGTTAATATTGGTTTATTAGTTTGTTCAGAATGTTGTTTGGTCAAATAAATATCAATATTTCCATCATTTTATTAATTATCATTTTTATACTACTTTTAACAGAAATTGGTAGGTATACTGATTTGGAAGCCCCAGTGTCTATGTTAGGACAGCTATAATGTTACTACGGGCAAATTATGGGAATTATATCCTCCTATATACGTAAACTTTTGAAACATGAGTTTATTCAAAAATCACAATCGCAGGAATATCATTTATATATAAAAAGAGTCAGCAAAAATCCCATGCGCTCTAGAATTTTGTTCGGTACTTGAGCATTGCACTTTTCAATTTCGTTCAATAATGTGCCATTTCATCTACACTACAAGTTACACTGTTATTTTACTATCTCATCGCATTCAATTTCTGCAAAAATGCTCAACATCGTGCAACCATCTCCCAGCAGGTGCTGACCTTAATTAATATCAGAAGGATATGGGAACAGCATAGCAGCATGAGAACATGATATCAATTAATTTAATCCAACTTTCAACTAGAAGCTAGATATGGATATCGAAACTGGTAAAACTACAAACATTAATCAATCTCTCCCCTATCCAGCGTATACCGAGAGGTATTTTATGTGCGTTACAACCAAATTAATTAAGTTGTGCAATTCGACAGAGCCAACGATTTTTTTAACAGTCTAAGGACTCCAATAAAACCAAATACGGCCCATTTTATTAACGCCGTAATGTAAACACGACTTTAATCAACACTGTTTGCCTGTATCCAATCAGAACGGGCGTAAAACCTAAAACATCATAAAAAAACTAAGAAAAAAAATGGCGACACGAGCCATATTGTCTCCCCCCACCCTTTCGTGCAGACAATAATAAGACGTCAGCCCATCCCGGAAACACATCACCGACCGGATTAAGGGGTGGCCACCCTTTCAAATTACTATCTCCTGTCACTGCTATCGTGACAGCCCAACCCTGACCTCGCCCTTCCACGACATAAATCACCCCGGACGCAAAAATTCAATTTCAATTAGCGTTTTATAGCTGGGCGAGTCCGGCCCTGTCCATAACCCACTTTCGCGTGATGGGCACCAGGGCGCCACTACACAAGATCGAACAGTCTCAGAGTGTTCCTCTAAGGCAAAAAAACCCTTAGCGATTACAGCCGGCCCTCTAACTACGCAAAATCGGAAAAATAGGAAAAACTCACCGGTAATGCGGGGACGCGAAAGTGGCCAAAGTTTCCTTAATCCGGGCATCGTAAATGTGGCGCCTACGACACAGGATCGTGAATCACACTCTATGCAACGAATTATTTAAAGTGTTCATTTTATGGGCGAATTCATTTGCATTAATTACAAACATTCCGCCATTAAAAATGGCACGGAAAAACAATAGAGTGCGCACGCGCCGGAAGCACATGGTAGCTTGATTTAGCGGAAAATTGCCATGGAAATAGACTAAATGTTTACGAATTATTTGGGCGGCGTCTCGGCGCGTACAGTACAATTTTAATTGATTCTGGCGCGTATTTGCTGCACGAAACGATAAAAATAGAATAATTCGCCACGAAATTGTAACTATTCACAACAGGGGAAGATTGCGCTATGTTGGCCAATGTTGGCGCTACTGCCAGAGACGCAAACGTCAAACTCACATTTGAATAACATAACCTCAAAATTTGAAACTTTGTATTATTTTAGACAAAATTTAACGAAAATCAACGAACTTTGGACCAAAATCGACTGCGAACAACGTACTTAATGTTTAACTGGAACGTTTTTAATGAAATACTGGCAATTTGTGTTATCCTGAGCACCAACAGACTGAATTTGCCAGCAAGTCAATTTTTTTGAGATAAGTGGCACACATTTGAATAAACTGCCTCTGATAAAGTATGTGTAAATATTGGAGGTGTTTCTAGTAGGTTTACAGCTTTCGTCGTGCTCAAATCTGTGACTCAAATAATGTTAGTAAAATGTCCCCGAATTAAGCGTGTCTACCTCAGATTTTGCTTCGCCGTTTTAATTGTGGTATCAATCATTATTTTCCTACGACTAATTGCCGTAGAAAAGGGTGTCGCTGTTACGAAACCGGTGTTCTTAAACGCTTCGGTGTTTGAGGCAAAACTTCAACAGTATGAAAGTAGAATTATCCCCAATTTGGGACATCATGGTGAATCGGCGTATCTTGAGGGTTCAGACGCTAAGAAGGGGGAAGAGGCGTTGAAGAAGTACGCTCTCAATACTGTTTTAAGTGACCGAATGCCTCTAAATCGGAAACTAAGAGATCCCAGAAATCCAAAGTACGTACAAACTTAGTAAATAACGTAACATAACTCTCGATTTGTAGATGCAAGACTTTCACCTATAACCCAAAATTGCGAGCTTCAGTCATTGTGATATTCTACAACGAGCTTTTAAGTGTTATTTTGCGAACCGTCTGGAGTGTCATTCTACAAACTCCAGCGCACCTGTTACAAGAAATCATCCTCGTAGATGACGCAAGCACAAACGGTAATAAACCCGCCATAAATCATGTTTGACCGGATTAAAATGATAAGATACAATTTTTAATTTGTAGAAACCTTGAAAGGCCTCCTAGATTACTACATGGAAACAAGACTGCCAACACAAGACATAAAAATAATCCATTTAAAATCTCGACTTGGTTTAATCCGTGCACGTCTCCAGGGTGCACGGATAGCCACAGGTGACGTTCTTATATTTCTGGACGCCCATTGCGAAGCCACTACCTCCTGGGCTGAGCCCCTCCTTTCTCGCATTGAAGAGGACCACACGGCTGTGCTTGTACCAATCATCGACGTAATTGAAGCCAACACCCTCGCGTATTCGACCAATGGCGACACGAGTTACCAAGTGGGCGGGTTTTCATGGTCAGGGCATTTCACATGGATTGATATACAGAACGAAGAAGACAAAAGAAAGTTGACACCTGTCAAAAGTCCAACGATGGCGGGAGGATTGTTCGCGATTGATAGGAAATTTTTCTGGGAGATCGGCTCGTACGACGAGCAGATGGATGGATGGGGTGGGGAGAATTTGGAAATGTCGTTTAGGATTTGGCAATGTGGGGGGAGACTGGAAACTGTGCCTTGTAGTAGAGTGGGACATATTTTTAGGGATTTTCATCCCTATTCATTCCCGGATAATAAAGATACACACGGGATTAACACAGCCCGTTTGGCACACGTCTGGATGGATGACTATAAGAGATTCTTCTTCATGTATCAACCCGGGCTGGAAAATAATCCCGTTGTGGGTGACTTAACCCACAGAAAACAACTTAGACAAAAACTGAGGTGTAAGAGCTTCAAATGGTACTTAGAGAATGTCTACCCAGAGAAATTTATCCCAGACGAGAGTGTCTATGGGCATGGACAGGTTCAAAACGAATACGGGATGTGTTTAGATGACTTACAACTGGGTGAGGATAAAATCGGACCTTTAGGTTTGTACCAGTGCCACCCATATTTAGCTATGTCCCAGTACTTCTCCCTAAGTTTCAAAGGTGAACTAAGGAAGGAGAATTTTTGCGCTGAAACTTTCGGAGTTCGCGAGGTCCAATTAACTGAATGTCATGGTCACAAAAGGGAACAATTTTGGAAACTTTTTAAAAATGGGACCATTTATAATCCAACTTCTGATAAATGTTTGAGCAGCGCAGGCGTTGAGAATGGAAAAGGATTAGTTGTTGAGAAATGTGCTGATAGTATTTTTCAGAAATGGCGTTTCACTAACGTCAATGGGACGGCTGTGGTGCTCTAGAGCGTTCTTGTGATAACTAAGCGGGTTTCTATGCAGCTGGGAGGCGTGGTTTGGGAGGAGCTTGCGCTTGGAGATGGAGTCACGACGGACTGAGATTCTGGGGTAAAGATAAGACACTGATGGCTAATTGTTAGTGACTTTTTAGTTTTTGAACCACTATAGTATTACTGCTCAAACGGTGTTGCCAAATTAACTTATAGGTCACATTTTTTGAGGTTAGATTAGAAAAAATTGTGATTAGATGTACTAACAAATCCCTCTTTCCTACATACAAAAGATAGACTGACAAATTTTACTAAAAACTTATAAACTGATTTATGAGGTTAGATTCAAACTTCGCTATCAACTCTGATATAAGTATGAGACATGAACGAGTTATATTAAGTGTTATACTGGTTGCTTCGTCAAAGACTAACTCTTTGCCTCCTCGATTTTTTTATCGAGGAAAATAAACTGCTGAACATTCGGTACATTACATCATACTACTTAATAAAAATAGTGTAGGCCAAAAACTAGAGATAAATTAATTTTAAAATAATAATTAACAATCCCGAATTTAATTCTTGGACTTTGACGGTTTAGTTGTGATTTTCTGTTCAAAACAGGTTTGCACGGTCTCGCAACCGTCCGACCCAAGGCTGCTTTTGACCCAGCCGGCGCATAATATTTTTGATGTACCAGTGAGGACTGATCCAATAAATAAATATATTAATAGTTTTTAGAAAACCAGTCTTATAATTTACATAATTAAAAATACTTTTAAACGTTGTTAATAAACCCAAGGTAGAAAACTTCGTTTCAAGTACATTATTAATAGTGGTTTTAACCGATTTAAAAAGTTTTAAAAATAGGTAATCATGAGAATACAATTCCTTAAATACCTAATTGTCAAATACCCTTTGTTAAGTCTTATTCTTAATCTGAAAAGCCCGAAACTTACAATACTTTGATTCCAGCATTTTTACGAAAAAGACCTTGTTGTTCAGAATCTCTGGAGTTTATTTTCGTAAATAAAAAAGTTGAAGGAAAGAGTAGGTCGTAATAAAGCATCCAGTATAATGTTTGTGTTATTTTCAACAAGTAAGTGTATAAATTTTAAAAAGTAATGCGTTGTATAAGACAACTAAAAATGTGATAAATCGTAACTAATACTAAGACATTACTTAAGTCAAAAGCTGTCACGGAACCAAATTTATTAATATACAATAAACTGCGCCTCAAATGTTAGGATTTTAACAACCTTGAACATTCTGGTAAACAACTGGAATATGATACAAGCGCAACAAAAAGATATAATAATTATTAACGTATTTTATAACAATTTCGATAACTAGGAAAACGTGTGCCAACGACACCCTCATAGTTTCAATCTGTACAGTTCAGAACCTCATCAAGTAACGTAGTCATGGTTGCTTGTGATAAAAGAAAATTGCAATGATTTGTTTATATAAACAAAAAAATCTTAATTTTAAGGCGCAAAAGAAAACTCTAAAACTAAATAAGTGCTTATTAATAAATTTAAATTGAGACTGTTGTTTTTATATTAAAAATCCACGTACATCGTGTTTCACTTTACATATATACGTGGCGAATCTGTAAAAATTTTAATTTGGTGAAATTCGGACCTGGATTATTCTGCTTTCTAACTTCCGGGGATTACCGACATGCGACAACTTTAAGTTGTAAAAATCTCTCGCTATTGTACTACTGTCCGTCTCGTTATTGCCAATAAAATTTTATAGGGTAGAATGAAATTTCCAAAACAATAATAACATTTTATGATTGGCACTGTCACGTGTCAATTAAATTTTAGAGAATAGAGAGACTGGGTCCAGTTGAGAGATTGAGAAAATTCTTTCCGTGAGTGAAGTTGGATTATTTTTTTTTGTTAGTGGATTTTTAATAAAAGAAAAACAGACTCAAAACCTAAGTTTTATTGAACATCTTTGATCAAGTGTTCGAAAGCCTGATGCTTTATGTTCCTTTTTTACAATTAAATTAAGACAAAAATTATCTACCAAAGAAAATTAGTATTTTTTAGAGAAAATAAGCAACGCTATCAAAATTTGTAGAGTTTGTGTAGAATTTGAACAAAGACTGATTCTTCAATTTTTTACTTTTTCTAATACCTATTTAAACAATTAAGGTTTGCGATCATTTTTGGACGAGAAAATTTAAATTTGGCATACGCAAGGCGGAGCGTAATGAAATTACCGCCCATCATGCTACAACTGACAAATTGCAATATTGCGATTTAATTTTTCTCGCTACGTCATTAATTTTCATTGTCCGATATTCGAACACACAATTAACCGGAATAAAAGCTTCTGGAAGTTTGTAATATATTACTCTGTCATCGTATTAGATCTCATGGACACGTGTGACCTTGAAATATTTTGGGAAGCGAATATTTTTTTACGTAATTAATATGTAGGTCAATTAAAAATCGCTATCATTAGCTGTCGCATTTTTTATTATCACCCGAGGTAACTTGAGCTTCGTTTTTTATTACTATTTATACAGAGAATCACAGCCCCTTCCAAGCCCGCCATATGTCACTAAAATCATATTTTATCGCCTATAAATCCAGTATATATCACTTGTTGGTCTGTTTGTAATAAATACTATATTTTTAACCAATTTTTTATTTCCTCTTCTTATTCAATCAATGACACACGTTCAGTGGGCGTCTAAATTCAGTGTTCGTTCAACCACAATCAAAGTACAACGTACAATGTTTCTTCTAATTATTTTTAGTGTAGTAACAGTGACAAGTTCTAATCAACTGTTATCAGCTGTTGTGGTAAGCACATTTGGTTCTTTAATGTCCTTATTAATTTTTGGTTTCTCACAGATACACAGGCATGGAGATCGAAATCCCTACACCACATTTAAGACGGATCTCTACAGCGACGAGTCGCACTGGCCTGAAGGGTTTGGGCAATTAACCAAAGTACTTAAGTAGCTACATTTTAAAATTTATTAAGTAAAACCGGGTGTGTATGGTGTGTCAAGGTTTAGTTGAATGGATAATTCGTTGAATGGAGAGCCAAACCCTAAATTTCAACATTTGAATAGGATGACAAAAAACCGCAAATGCGATTTATTAGGCACTTATTTAATTAAAAGTGAATTTGATTCAAATTTATGTACGCCATAACCATATGTTTAATATTTAATTTTGTTATACTTTTAGAGGGGCATCCAGCGGCAGTACGAGTTGGGTTTATGGCTTAACAACCGCTATGCCTCCTTTCTGCCGTCACATTATTCACCTAGACACATCCGTGCTGTTTCAACGGATGTAGATAGAACTCTGATGTCTGCAGAAGTGACTCTTGCAGGTCTCTACCCCCCTTTAGACAATGACAAGTTCAATGAAAACATCAACTGGCAACCAATACCCATACATACAGCGCCCCGTACCGAGGATCCTCTTCTCGCCATGAAGAAACCATGTAAAAAATACAAACGCATCTTTAGTGACTTACTCAAATCACCCCACATCACCGAAATTAACTCTATCAATAAAAATCTGTACGAGTTTTTAAGTAACAAAACCGGTAACGATATTAATGATGTTTACGACGTAGAAGACATATACAATGCCCTGCATTCTCAGTTTCTGGCGAACAAAACGCTTCCTGATTGGACTGCTGAAGTTTATCCTGACAAAATGAAAGCAGCTGTTCTGCTCAAATTTAAACTACCGTGTTACACTGCAGAGTTGGCACGCCTTAAAACTGGTTTACTAATGGGGGAAATCGTTCGAAACTTCAGAGGTTTTGTTGAAGGGACTAATATGAGGAAGTTGCTGACGTTCTCAGGACATGATTCTACTTTAGCTGAAGTGCTGACAACTTTAGGGGCTTTCAACGATGAAGTTCCGCCTTATTCGAGTGCTATTCTGTTAGAGTTGTATGAAAACGGAGGAGAATTTCATGTTAATGTTTTTTTCAAGAACAGTACCGGTTTGCATGAGCTTTTTGTCGAGACGTGCGACTTTGATTGTAAATTTGAAGACTTTGAACGGATTTTGAGGGTGATGATAATTCACAGTGTAGAACAGTGGGAAAAGGAATGTGAAAATTGATTAATGATAGATTCTGTTTTACGTTAAATTCAAAGTTTATAGAAAATCTTCAGTTCAATAACTTACTATAACCGAAATCTTTCTTCTGGAACCGAGCGCGGTATTGTAGCCACACACACGTTATAATTTGGTGCTGTAATGCAAGTTGCCGCACTAGCTCTTTCAAGATATATTTGTAATGTTTAAGTTTTACAGTGCTAAATAAATTATTTTTATTAAAAAAAACTACGTGTGTGTATTCTTGAAACGTATAAAACAATAATTCAACAAAATTAATTTCAAATAGTTTCATAAATGTGTAAAGTTGGTTGCATTGGTCAGCCTTGACAAATGACGATAATGACAGTTCATAAATGTCAACGTACGGAACTGTGATAACACAAGTGCAAAGTGCTAAATAAATTATTTTTCCGTTAAAATAAATAAAAATAATCAGTTAAGTAAAATTTCATGATGAAATGAATGACGTAAAAGTCTGGAAAAATCTGCATGAACACGTCTCGTTGTAGTAAAATATCTTTTTTCACAAAATTAGTATTTGTGATGCATTTAATTTAAAAACAACCTATAAAAGTAAGTGAAAATTAAGTCGAAAAATGGCTGTTCTACCCCCAGATCCAGTGTTTTGTTTAAAAAGTGACATGGACCATATTCACAGTTTGTGTTTTCCTACCACCAATGAAAATTACACTTCGAGACTGCTGGCGGCTACAGAAAATGGGTTTGTGTATTTTTGGGATTTGGAGGTGAGTGCAAAAGAATTAGGTCAAGTAATATTAGCAAAAACAGATTAAACTTAACTGGTTTCGACATTCCAGTAAGGACACATTAAATATGCAGATTCCATGAAGCCTAAATTGTTCACATTGAGAGCCAATTTAACTTAAATGCCTGAAAAGTGGGCGGAGCTTAAGGTATACTCCGCCCAGATTTTAGCACGTGGTTCTAGCGGCTTTAGTGTAGGGCCTGATTCAAAACTCCGCGCCGTCACGCCCACCTAATTTCAAAATCTTTGACTTTAAATGTCTGTGTTTGAGGACTGAAAAGTGCACTTCTAAAGTATCAGATAAAAAATGTGTTACAGTTTTTGAAAATCACAACCAAGTTCCTAATCATAATACAGTAAATTAACAACACTTTATTGACGCATCGATTTTTAATATGTACAATTTTATTTTATTTCGTTTGTAAGTGGTTGTCGAAAAAATGTAACATTTCGGTATTTGGCTCAATGGTAGAGTGCAAATACTACGAGAAGAAAAAAATCTGTCACTTAAACTTTAACCAGTGGCGGATCATTTCCGTTGAAAGAATCAAAAGTTCAAAATAATCTGATTCGAATAAAGTACAAAAGACATCCATAGATTGTTAAAACACTGTTAGATTAACAAACGAGAACAAAGAAATTACTAAATTGGCAAGTGAACCCGTTATCAAAGAGGGTTGGGCTTTGGTCGGGTGGGCGGAGCTTCACTACTTCTTGATTTTATTTAATCTTGATTGGTGTCTCATCTGGGTGTAACTAATCTCTCTTTCTCAGACCAACCGTCTCCAGCACAAACAAACAATGGGCGAGTCCATCCAAGCCGTCCATTCCCTCCAAACTGACATAATAACCCAAGAAAAAAACGGTTTAATCAAACTGTGGACCATCGAGAACAACTCCAACTACGAACTGTCAAAAACCTACACATGTAGTGGCGGTTACTGCCGCAGTCTCCTCCTCAACGAGAACCTCATCGCCCCTCAAGAAGACAGCACTCTAGACATTATCGACATCAAAACAATGACAAAACAAAATCGTTTCATCCCCCACAAGCCCAAACTGGGTAACGTGATGTGCCTCCAGAAAGTCGAACTTGGGGGGAAGATATACATATTGGGTGGATACGAGACGGGAGACGTGATTTTGTGGGATTACTCCACCTCCCAGCCCTGCGGACATATCAAATTGCGCGAATACATAACCTCGTTGACGTTTGATCCGGTTAGTGGGCGTGGCATATGTGGAAACGCCTCCAACACGTTACAGATCTTTACGATAGATCGGAATTTTAATATCACGTTGAAGTGCGAAATTTCGATAACAAACGATGGGTGCAATACTGTCAAATTGAGAAGGGATAGGAAGATCTTCGTGAGTGGGGGGTGGGATGGGAGTTTGAGGATGTTCTCGTGGAAGAGTTTGAGGTTGTTGGTGGTTTTGAGTGAGCATAGGGGAGCGGTGACTGATGTTCAGTTCTCTCCTAAGAATGTGAGGTACTGGGAGGCGAATATCATGGCGGCTAGTGGGGCAGATGGGATGATATCGTTGTGGAATTTGTACAATTGAGGAGGCGACTGATTTGTACTTTGTGGCTGTTATGGAAGTACAAATAGGGTAGGATTTAAATGTGATATATAATTGTAATCTCTTGATGTTATAAAAGGGTAGGTTTTTTAGGAAATTGGAGTACCTATATTCTTATCTTAGGGAAGGACTGACATTGTAATTATTACTTACTTCAGGTGAACTTAATCTCATTTTACTAACTCTGGTATTTTTAAGTTAAACTGATAAATTCTAATCGTGTTGCTGCGCTAAGTAAACTGAATGTATGCAGGTTTGTGGAATGTTAATCAGCTCCAGTATTGTTAGCTTTCTTATCATACAAATAAATTATATGTAGATAATTATAATAAAGTTAGTAAAAAATTGTTGTTGCCAATTTTTATATAGATGTATTTTTGTGACTAGTAATTAAATATTTTTCCTTATGAGATCTTTGATTAGACGGATTTCTAAGCACGGTCATGGAGAGAGTAATCTGAATAAATTACAAAATTAATTAATCACGTGGTAAGTAAATTTTCTGACTGACTTAGAGTTTAGAGCATCTTTTTGTGAATCAGACTGTCACTCATCATATATATTACCAGGGGCGGCTGGTGCCGGGGGGCACAAGGGCACATGCCCCCCAAAATTACAACGTCTACCAACACACTGGACATGGTAAAATAGTAATTTTCAATATTCAAAAAATTTTCCGGTTGTTTGTGTCATAATTATAAAAACTAATTTTTTTATCTCGCTCCACTTCTATAAAATGTATCAAAACTTACATCCACTTACATCTAAAGATGTGTGTCTTGGATATATGATATGTTATTGCTGATAAAAACAAGGCACAGAGATCGAATCATGGCTGATTTCGATGTTTTGTTTGCACTGTTGCCATGGAAATCACACGTCTTAGCCGCCTGATACAACTGGACCGCGGTCCCGTTTCGACCGTGCTCGGCAGGATTGAGTTACTATCGTTTTAATTTTCATTCTGCGCGAACACAAAATCCAGGTATATTTCGAGGTCTGATTAATTTTACCGCTGAATTAAACTCTGCTTTACCAAATCATGTGAAAGAAGCAACAGTTTTTAAAGGAACGCCTAAAACTGTTGAAAATTAACTTTTAGATGCCATGAACGTAAGGCTGGTGTTAAAACTCAAGGAGCTGGTAAGTAGAATTATGTATTTATTTTAGTACGAATATATAGTAGTATTAGTATCTACTTTAATAAAAGGAAAACAGCGTTGGAAAATATGATAAGCTTCCCCGTGCGTTATTAACTGATAATGGTGGTCATTTTGTGAAAAAAAATTTCTTTAACGTTTGAAAAAAGTTTACATATCTGCACCCATTCTACAATTGATATCGAGGTAATAGATATTTTCCAACATTTTCTGTCTTTTGCTTTATTCTTCGCTTCCTTCCACTTCCGACCCCTTTTTGTTGTTCCATGTTCTTTCGGGTCTTTTCCGTTTCTTCTTTGCTGCTTCCAAAAAGTTAAGTTATAATGGTACTACAGTGTGTATATAAAAATTAATACGTTTATCACTTTGACAGAGTTGATAACTCCACTTGAAGATATTATTAAAACTTCTTCTTTTTCTCTATTCCTTATACTCTTTTGAACGTCAGATAATATTTTTAAATAAATTAAAAATAAAATTTGCAATCCTGTAGTGTACTTTAAAGAGAAGTTCTTTGTAAAATAACCTCTAGAATTTTACTTGCCGAACATAAATTCAGGAAATATTGTATAGGATCCATTACGCGAACGGCGAATTTCATGTTTTCTCGACGTTTCGTGATTCCTGGAGTGCAAAACATAGGTCTCTTGCAAACATTTTAAGGTTATAGTAAGCATGATATGTCGCTAATCCATTTCAGTTCTTCGATGTTTCAATTTTTCAAGTTTTCGAATTTTTCAAATGTTTCGATTTTTTAATTTTTCATTTTTAAAATTTTTCGATTTTTCAATGTTTTGATTTTCCGATTTATCCAGATCTGGATATTTTGATTTTTTAATTTGGCCTATTTCCGTTTCCCAGTTTTACCATTTCCCCGTTTTTCCGTTCTTTTCAATTTTCGATTTCTCCATATTTTGATTTTTCTTTTTCTCGCTAGCTATTTCGATTTTTTACTTTTGGATTTTCGGTTTTTTGATGTTTGATTTTCAGTTCTCAGTTAAACAAACACAATTTTGATGCGTATAACTTTTAAATAGAAAAAACCACATTCTGTATTTGAACGTAAGTGTAAACTGTAGCTCTAAATTACTTCTAATGATATATGATAAACACTTAATTTATAATGTGTTGTTTTTTTCAAAATGAGTTACTCAGACCGACAAAGTTCTAAAGTTAAAAACAAACCCTATTTCGTTCAGTTTTAAAAAAATCTTCTGCGTAAGTTAACTGGAAACATAAATTAATCAATAACATCAATTAATTTATGATCCTTATGTATTTTTAAACACATTCGATAGTCATCATGACCTCGAACAGCGATAACCACAAACAGCATTAAACACAATGTCGGCGTACAAACTATTAATCTTAGTTTTCTCTGGTACACATTTTCAGTTAAACTTCATTTTAAACTGGACTTTAATTAATTTTTAGCAACCTGTTTAAGTTTCGAAGCTAGCGACCCCACTGTTACAACCCCGTTGGGAAAAATCCGTGGCCACTACAAAACATCTTTCAAACACAAAAAATTTTCCGCCTTTGATGGTATCCCATATGGTAAGCCACCAATTGGAACGAAACGCTTCGAGGTAGAATATCGTCACCTAAAACCCAATTACAAACCTTGTCGTAGGCACCACAACCCATCGACAAATGGGACGGAACGTGGGATGCAACCCACCTCCAAGAGTGTGCCCAAATTCACACCATTTATGGAAAATCGACAATGTCCGGTAACGAAGACTGTCTATACGTCAATGTTTACGTCCCCCGAATCCTTATAAACGTCACTGACAATCTAGACGTAATCGTACACATCCATGGCGGCGGTTTTAGTACCTTAAGTGGTCACAATTACGCCCACCCTGGATATCTAATGGATCACGACGTTATCTTCGTCACTTTCAACTATCGTATAGGGATTTTGGGTTTTTTGAGTACCGAAGATGACGCTATTCCTGGAAATAACGGTTTCAAAGATCAAGTACTAGCTTTAAAGTGGGTTCAAGAGAATATATATAGTTTTGGTGGTAACCCTGGGTCGGTTACTTTGACTGGAGCGTCAGCTGGGGGTGCTAGCGTTCACTTGCACTATCTATCTCCCATGAGTGTTGGTCTTTTCCATAGGGGTTTCTCGCAAAGTGGGTCTGCTTTAAATTCATGGGTGGTTCAAGCGGAAGCTTCGAATAAAGCTAAAACTGTGGCTTTAGCGGTTGGGTGTCCCGAAGCACCCACCCACAAGCTAAAAGAGTGTTTGAAACAACGACCATATCAACAAATTTTGTCCAAAATGAGTTTGTTTTGTGGTTACAAGAATCATGCGCCGGTTCCGTTTAATTTGGTTTTAGAAAAAGGCTCAAACTCATTTCTGTCCGAGCACCCATATGGATTACTCGTAACGGGGCAAGTGCAAGATTTGCCGTGGTTAGTGTCTTTCGTGGAACATGAAGGTTATTTTATAGTTGATGGTAACACGTCCACTTTGATTTAATTTTTTTGCTAGTGTTTGTATGTAGGGTTTAGGGATAGAATCGAGACCATGAACCAGAAGTGGGAGCAAGTGGCGCCCTTCATGATCTACTATAACTACACAGTTGCGAAAAATCACTGGGGCGATGTGGCAAGACAAATCAAAGACTTTTATTTAGGAAAAAACGAAAAATTTGCTGGTAGCAATTTTGACAATCTCGTTAGGCTTGCTGGGGAAGGAGTAATGATTCATGGTGTTGTGAAATCAGTACTGGTACAAGCTGCAGTTACCAATGCTTCTGTGTATTTGTTTCATCTGAGCTACACCGGAGATAAAAACAGTACCAGGTACTTTTTTTGGTGATCTAAATTTGAAAAGTTATTAATTTTAGTTATTTCACACGGTGATGACAATCAATATTTTTATTACGGTGAAAACGAGAAAGCTTTGACCAAAAATCAGCTTAAAATGAAGGACATTTTCATTGACATGTTGGTTACGTATGCCAAGACCGGGTAAGTGATTTCGGAGGGTTTGTAAGTTTAAACCAAAACATTTTTTAGTACACCAAGTATAAATGGAACTGTTTGGGAACCAGCCAAAGATGATCATTTAAACTTTTTGAAGATTTCTTCACCCGAGAAGCGACACATACATATGGAGACCAACAACGATTTAGGGAATCAAAATTTTTGGGACTCATTAGAATCTTCCGAAAAAAATTAATCTGGCTGTTATTTCGACGTCTTGTGGTCATGTGTGTCAAGTTATTGAACAGATAAGCACACTCGACACAAGTACTTGAATAATGTAATTGAAAATAAAATCTACAGATTAACGGCAATCCTCATTTTTCTCCAAAAAATTATCATAAGTAATTACACGAGTGTCACATTGACGTTTCAATTTCCCGACACGCGTCCATATTTCCTTACAATAATTTACCATTTACCAGTTTCTAAGAATAAAAAAATCATCACAATTGAGATGGGGTGGTTGGGCGGGGTTTATATTTTGTCTTTTTTTTTCTTAATATACATAGCATTCTATGAACAGCACGATACTCAAAAACATGTTTTTAATTTCTTGTAAATAAATAGGCATTTTGCATTAAGCTCAGTCCCCTTGGTTCACGGCGAATAAAAAATATCATCACAATTGAGATAGGGCTTTTTGTTTTAATATGTGTAGACTTCTTTTACAACTTGAAATTTAAACCTTTTTAAAGTGGAAAATTTGTATAAGGAAATATCGATTTTGCAGTTAGGCTCCGCGCCATTATTGCAAAATCCACATTTCCTTGCAGAAACCATTTTAACAACGTTTCAAGTTTCTTGTTATGAAAAGATGGCTATGTATATGTTACAGCTAATATCCGAAATACGTTATTATGCATAATAACTAGATATTTTAGGAATTATGCGTAATAACTAAACTTGTCAGTTATTATGCATAATAACCGGAAACATTCGGAATTATGCGTAATAACTGAATTTTTCAGTTATTATGCACAATAACGGAAACGTTTAGGTAATATTAACTAACAGAGGAACAGGAATTATGCATAATACCTGAAACATTAGTCATTAAGTATATTGCCTAATAGGCCAGGGCAGATAATTTTTGAGAACAAAAAAATTTAGAACAGGATGATACCCATTGGAAAGGGAAGAAAATATAACAAAAATAAAAGGAAACATAATTTACGGGTGATCTGAGGTTGGGAAGTGGAAGAGGGTGAGCTTTTAAGGGTAGAAAACGGTTTATCACGATTTCCGGCAAAACTACAAGTCCTATCGAAAACAGTTAAATGGCAAAGTTCTAGGTAATAAAAGGATCTAGAACTTTTGTATTTAGACTTTTTTTAAATAACCTCAAAATTTATGTGAAAAATGCAAATAACCGAGTTTTTGGTTTTTTATTTTTATCTCCCACAAAAAAGTTTTTTTTTTCACGAAATTTGGTGAAAACTTACCTATTTATGTCCCAAAATCACTGTAATTTTTTTGATTCAAAATATCTATTTTTCTCCCTTATTTTGATTTAATATCGAAAAACCACCCTAATTTTCAATCGAAAATTCTCACGTCAAAATGTTTGCTTTTTTTAAAAAATCGGTGTGCTTTTTGTTCGTTGAAATCTCTACTTTCTAATGGTGTAAAAAAAAGTATATATTACTCTGGCAAATTTTCACAGGAAATCCAAAAAAACGAAAAACTCGAATTCGAATTTTTTTTATCATGTAAAATTTTAAGCTATTTATTAAAATTTACACTTTAATTACTCGAAAAAAGTAAGATTCCATGTTACACTGATAAACTCAAAAATTTAAAATCCATGAAACAAACGCCTTCTCTTGGTGGGAGATTTGTCAATATGAAAGATGAGTTAATTCGTGCCAATTGATTTTCGAAATCTTAATTGTTCCAATGTTATATTGTCATTTTTACATTTATAAATATATTTGATTAATTGTAATCCATGTTTTTGCGATATCTTCTTTGTTTGCTTGTTTTTTATGAAAAATATTGGTCAAATTTGACAAATTTTTATCGTCTGACTAACAGACCCAGTGAATATTTTAGAAGTTAAACAAAAAATTAAATCAAAATAAATAAATAAATTATAATTAAATTAAATTATAAATTATACATAAAAATTTATCGTACGACAATGATCATATTCGACAGCCATCTTGAACCCTGCCTTGCGTATCTGTGGATGAAAGTAAAGATACTAATATCGTTACTACAACATGGGGGTTGGTCGTAGAAGGGTGAAAATTTAGGGTTATATGTATTTTTTGAAGCCAAATCTTAAAAAAATAAAAATAACAAATTTTGTCCGAAAAATAAAAAAAAAATTTTTGGGTGGGTCACCCCCTAGGGGTATAAAAATTAGTTTACGACCTATTCTCAGACCTAACGAATATAGACAGAAAATTTCATAAAAATCAGTCAAACCGTTTCGGAAGAGTTTGGTTACGCACACTATGACACGAGAATTTTATATATTAGAAAACAATGAATTTACGATGTTTTTCTTTCCTTTTCCGGCAAACCCAGATGTTGTATCGCAACCAGAAAAACAATACAGAAATGCAACGATATTTTTGAAAGATTCATATTTGAAACTACTGGACGTGAAAAATAAATCTTTTACATTTCCAGAACCTGGTTTGAGAAAATAAATGTCATAATTATTTGAATTCAATTGATTCAAAAGGACCAAAATATCTTGACCCACAACTATGACAGTTTTATTAGTATCTCTGGCAGTTTCTGTCGAGATCTTAATTATGTCAGCATCAGCATCTTCTTCTGCTTGTTTACAGGAAAATTCTTGTGACTGTAGATTCCAAAAGTTTCTTTTAAATAAATCAATTCGTCACGATTCTCTTCAAGTAACTCAGCCTGCACATATATTTTTATAGATGATCATCATATTGTTCACTCTTCTGATGGGCTAAAATTTTCCGTAGGCCATTCAGGTATGTAAGTTATCTTAAAACAGCAATAAATAGGCACCTATGCATATAATTTAAAAATTATCCTACAACATTAACAAAATATTGTAGATGTCTTATAAAGTATTAAGTGTATTAACTTATTTGGTTGTTAATTATAGTAGTATATTTCGATTTGCAATTTTTTAATTTATCAATGTAACATGAAATATTACGTTTTTCGAATAATTAACGTGTACATTTTAATAAATAGCTCCAAATTTTACATAATAATTAAAAAACGAATTTTTGAATTCGAGTTTTTTCGTTTTTTTGCATTTCCTGTGAAAATTTGCCATAGTAATGTATAATTTTTTTTACACCTTCAGAAACTAGAGATTTCAGCAAACAAAAAGCACACCAATTTTTTTTAAAAAGCAAATATTTTGACGTGAGAATTTTCAATTGAAAAATAGGGTGGTTTTTCGATATTAAATCAAAATAAGGGAAAAAAATAAATATTTTGAACCAAAAAAATTACAGTGAGTTTGGGACATAAATAATAATAATAATAATAATAATAATAATAATAATAATAAATTTATTGAGTACCATGAATAAAAAAAAAAAATACAAGTAAACGAAAATAAATAAATAATGCATAATACTCAAAAGGGAAAAAAAAAACAGATTCAGTATTACTGATTTACAATCTGTCCCTATGTTGAAAAGAAATGGAAATGAGATATGAAATACAAGTTGTAAATATGAAAGAGGAACATAATTTTTTATAGATAGTATTAAAGGTACAGAATTTAAAAAAGATTTAAATTTAATTTTAATTTTATTTCTGCTTGCTCAGCCAATAAGAGATCCTTTACAGATTTGATGATGTAATGGTTATTTAAGTTGGAATAATGACGTAAAACGTTATTTATGACATATGCAGCTAAATATGAAAATGACGATTTATATGAACTCAAAGAATGAGAAGGTATGTCAACAGTCAGATCTATTTGTCGCAGGTTTCTGTCATGTACAAAACTACGAATTGAAATTTTATTTTGCAGATAGTGAGGCTCATTATGAAGTCGGATTTTTGTTATGAGTTTGATAAAGTGATGAAAACGTCTTTCATGCATTTTCATCCAGCCTAAATTCCGTACAAAAGGTGTAATGTGGGTGTCACGTGGAATAGAATAAATATATCTCACACAAAAGTTTTGAATCTTTTGCAAACGATATTTGTCCACACAAGATAGACAGGGACCATATACTATGTCAGCATAGTTTAAATGTGAAAGTATCAAGGCATCAGTCAACAGGCGTTTGGAGCGAATGTCTAAAAGGTTCTTATAAGGGGAAATCAATTTGAATCCATTAAATGTGGTTTGGCAGATCTTATTTATATGGTCAGTAAATTTTAGCTGATTATCAATATGTAACCCAAGACTTTTAACTACTCGGGCAGAAGAAATAGTGGTACCTCCAATATGAAGATTAAGATCTGAGTTTATTGCTCTTATTTTATTTGGTGTACCCAAAGTAATTGAAATAGTTTTTACAAGATTTAAGGAAAGACAGTTCTTACAAGTCCATTCACGTGAACGTTCAAGATCTGAGTTAATTTTTTCTGGAGCGTTATGTTCAGATACAGGATTAAAAGAATAATAAATTTGAAAGTCGTCAGCATACATATGAAGTTGACAATGTTGAAGATATTTAGGGAAGTCAGCCGTATAAATAGAAAACAAGACAGGACCTAGTACAGATCCTTGAGGTACACCATTTTTTATTGTAAGAGGTTTAGAAATAGAACCATGACAGGATACGACTTGAGATCTATTAAGAAGGTAGTTTTCGAGCCAAGTTACGCAGTTTTCAGAAAGGCCATAATATTTTAGTTTAGCAAGCAATAACTTAAAATTAACCGCATCGAACGCTTTAGACATGTCCAATAAAGTAAGTGAAGTTACTTTACTGTCACAGCAGCCTTTCAATACGTCATCAATTAGGGAACTTAAAACAGTGGTCGTGCTAAAGTGAGTTCTGAAGCCTGATTGAACAGTAGGAAGAATATTTGCCTGAGATATAAATATATTTAATTGTTGCAAGAGGGCTGATTCTGCTATTTTCAGCAATGTACTAAGTAAGCTGATTGGTCTGAGATCTTTAAGGCAGGTTGGAGCACCTTTTTTTGGAATTGGTTTTACCAAGGCACATTTCCATTGGCTAGGAATTTGACTTAGTTCGAAAGAGTAATTGATGATGTGAGTTAGAGGATGTAAAATCCATGGAAGAGCAATTTGCAACATTTTACCTGATACTCCATCAAGGCCAGCAGAGTAAGACTTTTGTTTTGAAATGAGTTCATTAATCGTGTCAGTATTTACGGGATG